CATAGAGGGAAAGGTTTAGGGGAAGAGGTGATTAGCAATAGTGGTGCCCCATCCAAACAGCCACTATAATTTTTTTAAAACACACAGACAAGAACAGAAGGACATTCAGAAATAAGACAGTTTGGAAAGAACGTGTAAAATTTATCAGACACACACATATTTTAAAGCAAGCAGAGTGAAATGGAGACTATGGTTTCTTATAGAATCCTCTTTTTGTGTTCTGCTCTATATGGAAATCTTTTTGTATGTATGTTTTAAGATCAGAATTTTTTTTAATTTAAGAAGAAAAAAGAGAAAAATCTTTTAGACTCCCCAACTCAGATGACTGTTATCAAAAAATATTTTTATACTACCAAGACCAATAAAAAGTTAGCTTGTAGACTATTACACATTACAAACGGGTATTTCTATATGGAAATAAGAACAAAATTCATGATCTTGCTTATGTTACTTATCTAGACCTTGTTTGCCTCAGTTTCCTCATCTGTAAAATGAACTGGAACCAGAGAAGGAAATGACAAACCACCGCAGTATCTTTGCCAAGAAAATCCCAAATGGAGTCATGAAGAACTGGACACAGCTGAAAACTGACTGAACAACCACCCAAAGCAAGACCACTGCACAGTATGAGAAAAGGAGTTTCATTTAAGTACAAACTAATTTAGGTTGTTAAAATGTAAAACCAGACCCCCCCAAAGCAGACAATCCTTTTACTATACTTTGCCAAAACTCAAGGAGTACAAGCATATGAATAGTTTGCATAAGAGTCTATTTTAGACAGTCTCGCTGGTCTAAGAAAGGATATTTTAAATACTAGGCTAAATAAGTCTTGACAGTGTGATCCTGACATTTCACAACCAAACTTTTCTAGGTCCAGGTGACCTCAACATTTTTATTTAATATTTCCTTATAAGCAAAAGCAGACAAAAATTAAGCAACTCAAAGCACTACTGCTATTCACCATAAGAAGATACAAATAGGCCAAAATATTGAGAATATTTCTTTTGCTCTTCCACATTATTCCTATTCCAGCCCCTCAACCATAGTCTGCAGGTGACCTTATGCCAGGGTTCTTAATCTTTCATGTGCCTTGGAGCCCTCTGGCAGTGTCTGGTGAAACCTACAGATCCCTCAGAATAATGTTTACAAATGTATAAAATAAAATGTACATAGGATTACAAGTCTATTAAAATACAGTTATCAAAATACATATATATTTTTAAAGTCAGGTCCCTGGAGCACAGATTAAAGAACTACTCCATAGGGTTTTCAAAGTCTATACGCCCATGAGCACACAACCTTTTGCAGATCCTACCATGTTGGAAAAGGTTTGAGTCTAAGTCAGAAAACAGACTACATTTATTTAGGATTAAGTAACACACCCTTAAAAAAGAAATGTGGACAATTCAGTGACCGAGACTGATCTTGAGCAAGTCCCTTAACTTCACTGAGTCTCAATTTCTTTATCTGTCCAGTGAGAGCATTGGGCCAAGTGACCTTCAAACTCAAAGTAATGATCCTATGATACCAAGCCATTCTACTGCTATAGTCATATCAAACACAAACAGGCCAAAATACTGATTGTTGGGGCAGCTATGTGGCACAGTGGATAGAGCACCAGCTCTGGAGTCAGGAGGACTTGAGCTCAAATCCAGCCTCAGACACATAATACTCACTAGCTGTGTGACTCTGGCCAAGTCATTTAACCCCAACTGCCTCACCAAAAAAAAAAAATACATATAGATTGATTGTGTTTCTTTTACTTTTCCACCAAAGTCCTCCTCCAAGACCTCAACTACAGTCTGAATCAAAATAGTTTGAGACTGGAAGGAATGTCATGCATTCATTAAAAATGAACAAGATATAATCTGAAAACGTATCTACATCAAGTTCCTACTCTGCCAAAGTCTCTGACCATTCAACTGGCGACAACAACATGAAATGAATTTAAAAGCACCTTACAAGTCACCATCCTGATGACAGAAGAGCCAGCCCCTTCTCTCCCCCTCATAAAATCCATCTGATCTAAACTTTCTTAGCACTGGAACAATCTTTCACCTGACTATTTTTCAATGGAACACACGTTCTCTCCAAACATTATATACTTCCTTCTCATAGTAATTAAAGCTTTCACTATTTCATCTGAATCTCCCTGTCCATTAAACTAACCCATTCATACCCTAGAACCACAGCAAAATGGAAAACCCCTTTAAAAAATCACTACTAAATTTATTTTTTGTGTAAATCCAAATGTTTAAAAGGATTTGCTTCAATACATGAGATGGCAACTAACGAGACTATCATAGCACAAGGATGAGAAAAAAAATAAGAAACAAGTCTCCCAATGGTTTAATTTTACATACACTGAATGGGAAATTAAAATATAACTGTTTTTTCAGCAAGTTACACTGATTTTTTATGATGTCTAATAATTCATCTAAAAACAAGTTGCTAACATTTATATTCAGCTTTATTCACTCAATATTCAAATAAGCATTTACTTGTGTACGGTGCTAGGTGCTAAGGACAGAGACAAACATGAAACAGTCCTGCCCTTAAGCATCTTACATTCTAGCAGGGAAGTAATATGTACACACTTATACATAGAAGCAAATATAAATACAAAATATAGAGATACATATAGATACAAGTTTACAAAGCAAACATACAGAACAAACATATACAAAGTATATACAAAGAAATGGGAGGGGTAGACTGGCAATCCAGGGAAATCAGGATAGGCAGGCCTGTGGAGAAAGTGCCCTTTGAAGGGCATCTTGAAAGATGCTAGGGAATGGAGACAAAGATGCAAAGGCCTGGAGAGAGAAGATGGAATGTCTACAGGGAACAGGCAAATGGCCTAATCTGTGCAGAACCAGGGAGGAGTGAAGGTGAACAATGAGCAAGAAGCCTGGAAAGGTAAGCTGAGACCAGCCTGTAAAGAACAGGATTTTACAACTATAACTTTACCTATTTATTCAAACAATTCAGAGAATGATATAACTAGAAAACAGCTAAAGGAGCATTTGGCTGTGAAGTAGCCCACCAGAACCAAGTTCATTCTCCTTCTACAATTCCACAATGCCCCAACAAACAAGTGTCAAAATGAACAGAAAGCCCTTATAACTACTCTGGGGAGCTTTCTGAATATATGCAGGCAATTTAATCCTAGGCAATACCACATCCGTTTTTCTCCCCTCGAAAGCCATGGTCCTTCCATGGTCACCAGGGTACCTTTGCAGAATGTAAATTAACGTTACTAACAAATATTAACAAATGATAAGTGAGAAGATAGTTCTGTTGAGAATATAAATCTAAAGAAGTGTGGGATTCTTGACTAGAACAGTTAGTCCACAGAATTCAGTTCCATTGAAGAAACCTTCGCAAAGTGTTTCTCGCATGCAAGGCACCCTTCAGATACAAGGATCCAAACAAACCAATCAACCCTTCCCATTTCACGGATTCCACCACTTTCACTGTGGTAAGCTCACACCGCGGAGAGAGCAACTGGAGGAAATATATATATCTTCGATAGATGCTCTTGGTAAACACTGCTGACAAACAGGATACAGGACCACACTACTCCACCACATCTCCACTAAATCTATACTTATAATAAACTGTTTCTACTTCTTTCCAGTTAATCGGATTCTTTTCTCTCTCACCGACAAAATTGTGCTTCTCAACTGAAGGTTTCTCAATCTCCTCTCTCATCCAAAAAAGAAGCTGCACTCACTGACCTGAGACAAAATTTTAAAGGGGAAACCAGTATGTACTGTGTTCCCTGGATCCTGAAGACTAAAACTCCCAGAAGCAAAGGAGGTTAGTAGAAGCACTTGGGAGTCTAAGTTCCTAGATTCAAAACGTGGCTCAACTTGTTACCTGCGTGACCTTGGGCAAGTCCCTTTCCTTCTTCAGATTCAATTTCCTCATCTGTAAAATGACTGATCAGAAGATATGACCTCTGAGGTTCCTTTCCACTCAAAATCTAAGATTCTATGACCTTCGTGATCTTGGGCAAATCCTTGGGCCCCTCTGGGCCTCGATTTCCTTCCCTGTAAAGTGAGGGATTGGGTCCCGATGATCTCTAAGGTCATCCCTGAAGCCCCTCGGAGCCTCAATACCCCCCACCACTACCCCCAGCCGTAAAGTGAGGGGCCGGTCTACGGGGTCCCAGGCAGCTCGGCCGTTTTGGGAAGCCTTTGTATCTCTCTCCCGAGGCGGGCCGGGGAAAGAGCCCAGGCAGAGTCCGTTGGGTGGGAGGCTCTCCCCGCACCGGGGCCCCCCTCCCGGGGTCAGTAGCAGCATCCCCCCCGCCCGGGCCGAGGGGGTGGGGGGAGAGGGCGCCGGGGCCCTTCACGTGCTGCTCCCCCTCCCGCCCTGGCCCTGCCGGGCCCGCTCCCCGGGGCCTTGCCGCACGCGCGGCTTCCACAGCCCCCCGACGACGCCACGACACGGGGCCTACTCACCCGCGGCGGGGCGGGGGGCGAGAGCGCCCCCGGGACAGGGGGCCGGGGCAGGGCGAGGGGACGGCGCGGCGGGCGGGCGGGCCGGGGCACGGCGAGGCAGGGCGAGCGGGGCGGCGGGCGGGCGGGGGCTCCCCGCGGCCCCTCGGCGGGGCCGGCGCGCGCGCTCGCCTGTCACTCGTGTCGCCGCCGCGGCTGCGGGCCCCGCTGCTGCTGCTGCTCCGGCTGCTGCTGTCGCCGCTGCCGCCGCCACCGCCACCGCCGCGGGCCCTGCTGCTCCGCCAGCGCGGCCGCCATCTTGAGTGCGCCCCTCCCCCAGCGCCGGCCGCCGTGCCGGCACCGCCCCCGCCACCAAGGCACCGCCCCCTTCCGGGGCGGGCGGGGGGGCCGCGGGGGCCGCTCCCCCTGCTCCGCTGTCTTTCCCTCCTGCCTGCGAGGCTCGCGGCGCCGGCCTCGCACTGACCTGCTAGCTCCCCTCCCCCAGTCCAGGCTCCGGGGGGCTACACGTGGGGAGCTCCTGCGAGGCTTACCCACCTGTTCCTCCTTCCACTCGGTTCGTGTGGGTCGCCTTCGGGGGTCCCGAGTCTCTCTTGTCTCCCGGCCTCGAGAGTCAGGCTGCGGGGCAGGATCAGGACCGCGCGGCGACCGGGCCGAGGGCATTCATCCTGCCCAGGCTGGGTCCCCGAGGGCAGCGCTTCGCGCGTGGCCGTCTATGCAAAGGCCGGCGCCCACGCTGTGCCCACACCATGCTTTCCTTTCCCTACCCCCGCCCAGCTTGTGAAAGCGACCCAAAGGGAACCGGCCGGGACCGCATTGGGCCGAGCCCCAAGGGGCAGGAGCTGCGGTCCGACCGTGACCCGCGCGGGGCCGTTGGTCCCCGAGAGAGGCCTCGAAGGGAACAAAGAGGAGGGAGAGGCTGCCCGAGCGGTCCTGCTTGGGACGTGGGGGCTACTCTCGACACGTCTAGTGGGAAACACGTTGCATTGAAACCGAAGGAAAGGGGTGGACGAGGAAGGCGGGGCCAGGCTCCCCGGAGAGAGCTCAAAGAGCGGGCTAGAAGCGAGGGAGGCCGCCCAGGAGGGCAAGGGGGTGAAGCCACGGAGCCCAGGGAAGAGAGCACTAGGCCGCGACCCTGAGCAGTTTAAAAAGAGGCAAAGCAGCGCAGCGTAGCCGGGAACCTGACACTGGCTGCTGCCACTGCCGGGCGGGGCGGGGCGGGGCGGAGCCGGAGAAAGTGACACCTGCCGGGCCCCCGCAAGGGGGACGCTCTGCGCAGGCGTGCTGGCGACGGCCTCGCGGACGGGCGGAACTCGCTTTCCGCCGAGTCCAGTTTCCGGCGGATGCCTTTGGGCAGCTGGAGTCGCCATGGCGCTGCAGGCCGAGCTGCTGTTGGCCGCCTGTGCAGGCCTCGGACTGTGGTTGCTCTGGACTTGGGCCTGGAGCTGCTCGGGGCGTACGCGGGGCGTGGGCGGGGAGCCGGGGCGGGATGGGTCCGGGAGAAGGGCCCTGCTCTTGACCGCGCACCCGGACGACGAGGCCATGTTCTTTGCCCCCACGCTCCTGGGCCTGACCCGGCTGAGCTACCGGGTCTCCCTGCTCTGCTTCTCCGCAGGTAGGAGGCCCCGGGCGGACAGGGACGTCCAGAAAGTGCGGGGGGGAGGGCTGGGGACACGGAGGAATAAAGTGTGTGCACTGGAGCCTGTCTCTTTCGGCCTTGTTCATTGTAGGAGCCCCAAGCACCGTCGCCTCCCCACGCTCCCCACTCCTCTGGGGGCTCCGAGGAGGCCCCGGCCTCCTTTGGGTGAACCACTTCCTTAGGGAATTTAGGTCACAGTGAAGAGTCTAGCACTGGAAAAAGAGCAGTCCAGCCAGAAGCTCTCATCAAGTATATGTATCGTCCCACTTGCTATACCAAGTATGCTAAGTATGAAAAACAGGATACTATGAAACCTCTGCCTCCCTTGGAAAGATTTCCTTAGATAGGAGATACATTGTATACTTAGTCTGCTGAAGGCATGGTCACATTATACGGAGCCAGTAGAATGAGATCGCTGGTTCTGTTTGGCAGCTGACTTAATCCAGAGTCTGCATGAAAGTTTAAAACTAAATGGAATTTGCCTTATAGATTCGGACGCCACAGGGCGTACACTCCAGAACCCCTGGAGAGCAGGGACTGGTTTTTGCCTCTCTTTTGTAACCCCGAAAGGCTTAGCACGGTATCTGGCACATGGTAGCCGCTTAACAATGATTGCTTATTGACCGACTGATTGTCTCGATTAAAAATCTGAAAGTTTAAAGCTTAAATGTAGTTCTTCATATGGATTCAGACTCCATAGAGCCTATACCCCAGAACCCCTCAAGAACAGAGACTGAGTTTTGCCTTTTTTTGTAAGAACCCCGGTGCTTAGAACAGTGCCTGGCACATAGTAGGCACTTAATGAATGCTTCTTGACTGTCCAACTGACATAGTCCAACCTCCTCATTTTGCAGATATGGAGAGGTCAATACAATTGAAATGACCCAGGACTATAGTAAATTAGGTGCTAAATTATAATTGAAACCCATGACCTCTGACTCCATATCCACTGTTCTTACTGTCCAAATCGAATGTTATACTTCTTAGATATCCTTAGACTGAGGCAGACATTCCTTGAACATTGGTTTCTGTTAGTGGCCTGAGAACCCAAAAGAAGTAATCCATGGTTGTGTAGTAATTACTATGATCAACTTGTCGGTTTATTTCAAATACTGCAAGAGAAATTTTGTTGTGATGTTACATTCGTCCCTATTCACTTTGACCAAGTCAAAAGAACCATAGGAATATGCGACCCAAAATCATATTTATAGCTTATGAAGATGTTTATCCTCAAGAGTAGTAAGTCTTTGAAAACAAATTAAGGTGTTTAATAAATAGTTCAACCAAACTGTTTAAATGGAATCGTTTAAAACATTTATGTTTTCAAATTCCAAACTGATACCTGACCAATTTGAGAAGTTCACTATAAAACAAAATTAATCTTAAAATAGATAAACCTTTGATATATGTGCAAGTTGAGCCCTGGATTTGTGACTGAATCTGTAGAAAGCATTTCCAGACTGGAAGGGAGCTTTGGAAATCATCTAGCCCACCCATTTGTCATTAGACACATAAAAAAACAGGCCAGCTGATGGGCTCATCTACACAAGCAGTCACCACCAAAAGTACAATAGCTCAGGGTTCCAGTTTGGCATCTATTCCACTGTACCATAAATCTCTCAAAAGCTTAAAAAAAAGTTTATCCAAGTAGTTTATAACTAAACTTTATGACATCTCTTTTTAAGATATATCCTGACTAGCTTAGTTATGGTTTTAATCATTTTAGTAGCAGAGTCAGCTCTTCAATATCCATGCTAATAGACTGAAACAATGATGTTAAGCTTACCCCCAAATTATTTTTTATTGAGATTTGGAATATGTTATATGATGTTGGTGAGAGAGGGGACAGGGAAAAGAATATTATTTTCCTATGTGTTTTGTTTAGACACATTTTAAAATTAAAATTCTTCTTGGCCCATGATACCTAATTAGAAGGGGATTATTAAAAATGTAATGCACATAGGTAGCACATGGATAGATTCTTTTGTGGACTTTATACTAACATTGACATCCAGACATCCAAATGTTACACAGGGCCATTAAGGTTAATTAACCTTTTCAGTGGCTGGCATATGCCTTGTCTACTATTCATTTAACTGTCTCATATTGCTAATCTTTTCACATATATATTTTAGCCTCTGTGGGACAACTGTTCTTACAACCTAGTAATGTCCAGACCTTAGGTGCTCAGATCTATAGAAGATCTGTTGAAATATTAGTAACTAACTTTACCATAAATCATTTAATTTATCCAATATAATTTCCATAAGGAACCTTAAAAAAAAAGTCTTCACTAGTTTCCTTGGAATTGAAATCTACAGAGAGATTGGGTTAAACACACACACACACACACACACTAATTAGCAATACATCTTCAAACTGTATTATATATTTCAACTCAGTTTCAAAAACAGCAGCTTTTCTCCCTCTCCTTCCCATCTCCAACAATTTAACCATAGCGTCTAGAGATTTCTGGAGTATTTCCTGTTATATTATAAATGCTCAAGAGTGTATCTTATTAACTATTGCATAAATTGGTATTATTTTAATAGAAATCATTCCCTTGCCACTGGTCCTCTTGTGGCTGTTGGTCTCAGAAGTTTTGTATCTTTATACCCTATTGCAGTCAAATTTGTGCTAGGTTCCCAAACAATTTTTGTTTTGACTAAAAAAGCAATTTTGTGTTTGTTTTATGGCTAAGAAATGACCCGAATAGTGTTTCCATTGCTAAATTACGCCATGCCCTATGTATTAGGATCCCTGGTTTTTACCCAGAGTGCAGTGGGGCTAAGTACGTACTATGTTAATCTGATGAGGAGAAGCAGCTCTGGCACAGTTAGAAAACCAGGTTCTGTCTATTTTGTGCTCTTTGAGCCATGATCTTGGACAAGCTAGCTTCTCCACTAAAGTGAATGGGTTGGACTAGGTGACCTCTTCAGGCTCTTTCAAAACAAAGACAGAGTTTCAATGCAATCAACACAGAAAGAATTTTTTTTAAATTGCTTAAAAATGCAATCAAAATATTGATAACTGATTTGAATATATAGTTGCATTCTTTTCCTCTGTCAACATACACTATAGTATTTCTGGATTTTTCTCTCATACATGAAAAATAAAAGCTGGGTATTCAATTTGGCAAAGTTATGCTACTCATTATTATAAACATATGTTTTGTACCACTAAGTTGGAAGAAATGAAGGCTGTCCCTGGAGAAAATGAAAAAGCCATTAGAAATGAAATCCCAAATGGTTTTGATTCCACAATGCTTGAGTGCATATATTTGGGTTTTTAAATAGTGGCTTTGTGTCAGACTCCTTGGGATCACAAATGATCATGTCTGAAAACAATAGTCAGTTTTACTCATCAGAAGCCATTATTTCCTGCCTAATTGTTCGTGGTACAGTTAGGTGCTATGCAAAGTAAATCACATGGGCCAACCTCAATTCCTGTCCTCTAAGCCTATTTTCTGAGAATTGCTAATGCTCACTCCTCTCCAAAAGTTCAGTGTAGTTTTTGTGTGTGTCATGTTTTCTTTTGAACTCTCCATGTTTCCTCAAGCTGAGATAAAATTTTAAAAGAGTTCAATGTTTCCTGGCTGAGAGAAGGAAAAGGGCAGGGAAATTTTGATAGACCTTCCCTGCATACTCTTCTAACTAAGAAAGTGTAGTTAACCCAGGGCCTTGAACACTTCAGCCCTAGGCCTCACTAGCATCAATCTAACTTTCTGTATGTCATCAAAGGGCAAATATGCACTGTGCTGACTGACACAGAATACTCTTAAACAGCAGTTAGGTTTTACAGTGTTTGTAATGGGAAGCAGTTTGTAGATATGACTTAAGATATAAGTGGGGGGAAAAATAGGCTGTATGTTCAGAATGTTGAAAAAATGTAAACCCCATATAGGATGATAATGCGTATTTTGAGGTTCAGTCTCCTTATAGAATCTAATGTACTGACTGCCTAAGGGTTGATCATTAAAGTCCCTTCCAGACCTAAATCTGTGAACCTATGATCTCACTAAACTCTGACCCTCATTGGTGCATTCATTCAACAGACACCTCCAAGTGCTTTCCATTCCCTGCCTTGAAGATACAAAGACAAAAACAATAGTCCCAGCCCTTAAAGAACTTACATGTTCTCTAGAGTAGAGACATGTACATAGATAAATCAATAGAAAAGCCATAGAGATGGAGGCTGGGCTTCGCATTTCACTGATAGAGGGAGCTCCCAGCTGAGGAAACCATTTCTACCAATTCTTGCCAACAACATCTCTGAAACTTAGGGAGTCTTAGAAAACTGCCAGAGCCAGGAGAGGTTAAACATTTTGTCTAGGGTCACACAGCTAACCTGTATCAGAGGCAGAGCTTAAACCCAGATCATCGTTGTTTTGAGGCCAGCTCTCTGTCCACTACAGGCTGGCAATGATGCCTCTTACAAAATGGATACTCGTATGTGTGTGTGTGTGTGTGTGTGTGTGTGTGTGTGTGCGCGTGCACGCGTGTGGGTGCGCATGTACACACATGCATGCATACACATAGCTCAAGTTATTGTCACTAAAAGCAGGTGTGAAATAGTCTGCAGTACCTCACTTTGAGATGGCTTACTTTTATCTTTTATTACATTGAAGCATTTTCCCATACAATTGATCCTCACAACTCTTTGAGACAGGAAATGAAGGAGCACCCCTATTTTATGTACAGGGAAACATGCTGCAGAAAGTCTAGGGGCTTGCCCAGAGTCACAAGCAAGACATCATCGTGACAGTGTGCTGTGTGACTGCTGTCCTTGCTCTGAACTTTGTTGCAGCCTTCTGTCATGATCACAAAGATCATGGTGCAGTTAGATGCTGTGCCTAAAAGCCACCCCCTATGTCTAGTGTGATATAAACCCGCCCTTGATTTATTTGTTATCCCTAGGCAATTACTACAATCAAGGGGCCATTCGTAAGAGAGAACTTTTGCAGAGCTGTGATGTTTTGGGGATTCCACCCTCCAGTGTAACAATTATTGACCACAGGTAACTTCTCTTCAACGATGTGGAAATCCTATTGGAAAAAAAGATAAAGTAATGCACTGGGGGGCACAAAAAGTTGCTTGTAACATAAGATGCAGAGCGTCTCACTTGAATTGTTCAGTTTTTCAACTTCCCATGGTTTCACTGGGACCCGCTTGCTCATCTTCTGTCACTTACTGGGCACTGCCTGAGAGTAGCTTGGACAGACAGTCCCATACTCTGCTGCCAGCAGGTGATGAGGTGATACAGATGTTATTCTCACTGGAATCACCTGCTTTAAAATCCCAAACCAGTGCCAAGGCAGTTCCAGGTCTGGCCAGCCCTACTGTACATCCTGAGAGGGCTTTGAGATCAGGCCCAGTGACAGATGCTGCCTGTTCTCTGAAGAGCATCTGAGCTCGGTTCAGAAACAGCTCATCACTATGTTGGCAGCAGGTTGATGAATTCCTGGGATGCTGGGATCCTCCTCACTATACTCAAATATTTTAAATAGTTTTACCTATTAAGTGGCACTGACAATGGCTAATTAATAGCTGAGATTAGAAGTTTTTTAATTGCTTTCTAGCTTTTAGCATTTTGAAACAGTGGCTAATTTTCTTTTTTAATTACATAATTTAAATTTAATTTAATAGCTTCTATTTATATTTTAACTTTACAGTTATTCATGTAGATAGGTTTAGTAGAAAGCTTCCTAGGCTTGAAGTCAGGAGAGATCTGGTTTCTAATCCAGCCCCTAACACCTACTACCTGTGTGATCACAAGCAAAGTCATTTAGTCTCTCTGAGACTCAGTTTTCTCAGCTATAAAATGGGGATATTAAAACTTCCCTCCCTGCATTGAAGGCAGAAGTTGTGAGTGCTTCTCTTGACTCCAAGATGTGCCTTTAGGACAGATGGCAGAGAGAGGAAGTCTCTTTATTGTGAGACAGGCCACGTGGCTAGTGGAGCAAGAGCAGGCCTCAGAGACAGGGAGATCTGCTATCAAGCCTCACACAGGCATAGCCTGGTTATGTGTAAGTGATCCTAGGCAAGTCACTTCTCAGTGCCAGCCTCCAAGCAGTTCTCTAAGATTCTGAGCTGCAGACTGTTTTCAGGGCTTCTGGCTAGAGGCCTTTCCTCGACTGGGAGCTGTCTGTCTATGACCCTGAAGTCACAGCTCTGAGCAGGAGGTCTGAAAGCCCTGCCTGGATGTCAGCGGCTCTGATCCTTAAAGGAGAACAAATACTCTTTAAACTTCACAACATCAAGCACTTTTCCAAAACTCAGAACAGCCTCTAGAACCACGTACTAAAACACGCGTCAGCCTGCTCTGACGTACACATACTTTCTTTCTTGACCTCTTTTTTAGAATGAAAACCTAAACAGCAAGAATCAGGAGCTAAGGGGGTGTGCCTGCAGTCTGTCTCTGCCTTCTGAGCTGCTTCCTAGCTTTTGTGGGCTTAGGCTGGCCCTTCCCAGTGACAGTGCTTCTGTGTGGTTCACTGTCAATGAGTGTCATGCTGGTTTCCTCCATTTGAGGTTTTCCTCTTCCTGTATTGGGTAATACCTATGCAAGGGAGTCACATGACAACACAGAAAATGTTGAAAAATGCAAGTCCCTTTAACTAATGAACAAAGAGAAAAAAATAAATAAAGCAGAGGGCAGATTTTCAGTCTTCCTCACCTGGATCTATACAAAAGGCAGAAATGGGAAGTGGTGCCTGCTGGTGACGGCTAATCAGAACCTCCAGACTGGCTGTTCTGTTTGTTTTAGAAAAGAGAAAAACAGGGTTGATTCTGTTCTGTACCCATGGGGAACATTCTTTTCAGGAACTCCTCACCTAGTAAGTAGCCCTACTTAGGAAGATCTCACTGTGGTTGCCACTTACCAATTCCCAAGATAAACCTGCTGGGTTTTGTCTAGTAGACTGCCCTGGGGACTGTTGGCTTAACAAAATTTCCTGTCTTACCCCTAACACCACTGCACATGATAAGTGATTATAAATGTTCTGTGGAGTTAAATTGGAGGTAAGTCAATCCAGGTAAACAGTGTTTCTGAAAGACAAAAGGTGAATGTCTCTGAAAGAAAGAAATTACAGTGATGCCTTACTTACCCAGAAATCACTTGGTTCTTAACTTCAGCAATCACAAATGTGGCCAAGAGCCAGAAACAAGCAAAAATTACTTGAGTGGGCAAAAGAGATGTCTCAGCAGTCAAACATCAAAGCTTCTGTACTTTACTCATCTGAGGGCCCTTCAACCCTCATCTAAAGCCTGTTACTGTTTCTTTAAACTGACTTACTGTTTACAGTTCTAACAAGTTTGGTTATCTGGTTTCCTAGGCCACAGCATATTAAAACCAGCAAATTATAGAAAGCAAATTGTGGAAAGTAAAGGAAAGAGAGGAAGCATTGCTAGAGAGAGACAGGCACATTGACAGTGGGGAGGAATGAGAGAGCTTACCAGCCAGGGAGGAGGCCTAAAAAACCCCAGTCATAAAAAGCAGCCACCAGAATTCAAGAAACACAACAATCTGGGACCATTTGGTGCAAAAGCAAAGCACCCTTTCCACTGCACCAGCCCTCAGATCTTCCTAAAGAGGACCCTGAGTCTTTAAAGAAAAGATTCTGTCAGATGCATTCTGTTCTTTTCGAGAGACAGTGGGAAGAGTGGGACAGCCTGTGTGACCCTGGGCGGCCCCTCTTTACCACCAGATAGCTCAGTTGCAGAGAAGGAGCCTGCCTTATTCATAGAGTCAGTTTCCTTACCTTAGAGTTCCCAATACCGATGAATCACAGTCCAGGTCCCCATACTCGTTTTGATATTGTCATCTAGAAAGATTTCTATTTAAAATCATTAAAACTTTCAAAACCTTTGAGCTGAAAGGGGCAGATTGTATTTAACTGTAAATTTCACTTGTGTACAGGACCCCATTTTCCAATCTGTGCCATGTAACGAAACTTCAGGAATCTCTTTTTGTGAGGCGTTTGTTAACATACACAGCCAATGAAGTGATAAGTGAGATAATGCTGTTGGGGCAGCGAGGTGGCGAGGTGGAGCAGTAGATAGAGCACTGGCCCTGGAGTCAGGAGGACCTGAGTTCACATGCAGCCTCAGACACATAACACTCACTAGCTATGTGACTGAGCAAGTCACTTAACCCAATTGCCTCACATTTTAAAAAAGAAGAAGAAGAAGAAGAAGAAGAAGAAGAAGAGATGATATTGTCCCAGTCTGCTTCTAGTCAGTCAATCAGCATATGCTTAGGGACACTTTATTGTGTCCAATGGGATAATACTCTAGGTTTCCTTCAGCAAAACTTTGTTTGGAACTCCAGGAGTTAAAAAACAAACCAAAAAAAACCCAACCCATATTTATGAATATTAATGATCTTTCACTAGACCTTGAGAAGCAAATAAAAGGTTACTGTTTGTAAGTTAATTCTTTGCCAAAGGAGTACCCTTGTAGCTAATCTCCAGAGGCTTCATTGTTGAGGTGCCGAAAGTCCTGAACGAGGTAGGAGTCAGAGACCTGGGTTCTAGTCCCACTTCTACCATTAACTAGTTCTGTAACCTTAGTCAAATCATTTAACATTCTCTTTTGTAAAACAAAGGGATTGAACTAGCTAAATGCTAAAGGTCTCTTCTAGCTCTAAAATGTTATGGCTGTGTGATCCCTACTGGTGGGGCTTGTCTAAAGTGTTAACCTGCAAGAACAGGTAAAGACAGAACCCTGGAATGTTGAATCCCAGAGCTCACTGGATCAGTGAGCACCAGTCAACTTGATAGCATTTGAAAAACATCTGGGTTTATTCACCATCTGCTTTTTCATCTCTTAAAACCTATTAGAGATCAACCCAGGGCTTCAAGATAAAGTATTCTCCAATCCTAATGGTTTCTTTGTGGATGAATCAGCTGCTTTTGTTTGAAAGAATTACACTTTACAGAGCTAGGATGAGGGAATTGAAATAATCAAGTGACTGAATTCCTTAAAAAAAGATTTAGAATAAAATGTTAGTGCCTATTCAGGGCTGGTCAGACCCTGCTCTGTCCAGTTCTGGTTCCACAGTTTTACAGCAACAACAAAAAGACTTAGAAGGTATCCATAGGAGACCCACCAAAATGGCTAGGGGGTAAGAAAATGGAGCCAAGAAGCAGCAGTTCAAGAAACCAAGATTATATGATGACAAGGCAGGCAGGAAAACGATAAGGTCACCAGGCGTGTGGAGGGAGAGAAAGGACAGTGACCAGATATCTCCAACCTTCACTAAAAAGAAAACAAGAAAAAACTAGCTTTCATTTCCATGTGAAGGGCTGTTTGAATCTGAGAAATACTGTTCCTCTGACTAGAGTGGCTTAAATGTCCTGCTCACCACCCAGCTCAAGTTTGGTAAAGTAGGTCACTGAACTATACAGTGAAACAGCAAAGCTAGCAGCCACTTCTCCAGCTAGGGAGAGATTCTGCTGCCTGAGCTTTCTCCTTTTTCCAATAGAGATACCACTTACATGGAAAGGAGGCAAGAGCAGACATTTGAATAAATGTTCTGACAGTAACCAATGGGACAAGCCGCTTCTAAGAGGCCAGCCGCTACCCTGAGAAGGCACCACATTTGGGGAACTTACTCATTGTCGACCGTGCTTAATGCCACCCGACAAGTGGTCAGTCCTATAAGCCCCTTACCAAATCTAAATGTCCTTCCCAAGCCTCTGGTGTCCTGTTAAGGTCCTCTTCGTTTGCTTCTTGCCATGCCATGGACAACGTTTCTATACTCTGCACTCCCCATATTGCTTCAGGCTTATATTTTGGTGAGGGAAATCCAGAGGATTGTTAGTCTTGGATGGGGGCCAACCATTGTAGGGCCTGACTGAGTCATGCAGCCTGGGCTTCCTCTTTCTTTTCATCATCTCCTTGTACATTAGTTATATTTTTAACATACAAAAGGACAGAAATATTTTGGGTGAGATAGAAATTGACCGGCCTGATGCTTGAAGATTCAGCTAAAAATCAACCTTTGCTTCTTTGGACCTTCCCTTCTCCTCCCCCTACCCCTCATCTATGATTAAAAAACAAAATACATCATCTCAGAGCATTTACTCAGGTTTAAAGCAAATTAATCTCTCGAGAGTCTTACATATGCAGCAAAACCTCATTGTCAGCTCTGCTTTATTCCAGGTAGTTGCCATCAGAAGCAACTGCTCTTCTTCCAGGCATCCAGATGTCCTATTTGTCTTAAATTCAAATCTCAGCTAATCTGAACCCAATTGATTTCAAGGTTCATTTCCCCCCACTCCCTTTTTTCACATTTCAAACTAGCCAGGTTTTAACATGCATATTCTCTATGCCAGAAGCTCTTTAAGCACCTGGGGCAAAGGCTCTTTTTACATTTGTTCTGTTGACATGGAGCATCTCTGAGTTTATTTAAATATTCACTTTAGATGAGAGTTCTGTAATCTGAATTGGGAGGCATGCATGAGATAGGCAGCAGCCTTCATGAAGAGCTGATATGATTATCTGAAACTGTCACACGTGAATGATTCCATCATTGGGCAGCCTCATCAACTTGCTTAGGTTTGGGTGTGGGAAGGTTAGTTTGTGATGCATTTGGCTTTTGATTTTCCTTGGCTCTTCTATCTCCCTAACACATTCTAATCTTCTTACAAAGTCAGCTTTGTTTAAAGTTTAAATTAGTGTAGTTAATTTAAAAGGACATTTTCAAAGGGCCTCTCTCTTTGAAGAATTCTAAGTCATCATATTAGAATGGTTCTAATTACTGGGCTCACTACTAGACACATTTTCCATGTTTTGTGAGTAGATTCCAGATTCTGTGACTCTTCAGACTGGACTTTGTAAGGGCCACCATGCAGAGTTCCAATCTGTTTCCTTGAAAGTCATCTCATCCTCTGAGGTTAGATTAGTCTCTGAGGTGAAGAAGATGCAGAGAAACCAATAAACTAAAGGCAGACCAAAGCAGCTGGTGTGCTGTGGTCTCCCAGGCCTTACAGCAGCATATGAACTCATCCAGGACACCAGGGAACCATTGGCTGGAGTAAGGAGTGACTGCGGAACTAGGGAGTCTGTAGCTCAGTGACTTAGAGACTGATCATCAGAGCTAGAAGGGGCCTAAGAGATTAGTTAGGCCTTTGCCCTCATTTTACAAATTAAGAAACCAAAGCCCAGAGGGTAAGTAATTTACCAAGGTCACACAGTTATTGAGTGGCAGAACTGGGATTAGAACTCAGATCTCACACCAAGTTTATTGTGTTGGTGTTCTACTACAAAACAAACTTCAAGCTTCCCCTTGTTTCCGTATTTTCAAAAGATAGTCTGTTTGGCATCCTTTGAAGAAGTTTATAAAGTATAATATTTATTGATATTTTCATAGGCTCACCAGACTCCAAACCTTCAGCAAGAGAGAATACCATTATTTCCCATTTTCTATCAAACATCAACACATTTTTCTGGGGGAAAATTCCCAGTCACTTAAGAATACAGTCTACTAATGGAAAGAGTCAGAATCCTTACCCTGTCATTCAAGGCCCTGTCTAAACTGGCCCCAATATTATCTCCTACTACTCCCCATCATGAACCCTTTCCCCCAGCTTAGATCCTGTCTCTTTCCTGTTCTGCAAACATGCTGCTGCTCTTTTGGCACTACCACCTACATCCTCTTAGGCAGCATGGGCCAATGAAAAGAGCGTCCAGGCTGAGGCCCAAATCACTTCAGTTCTCATCTCAGTCCAGCTGTCACTGATGCTCTGTGTGACCCTGGGCAATTCACTTCCCCTGCCTGAGGTCTGTCTCCTCATCGGAAAAATAAGGGTGGAGTGATTACTCACTTTCATACTATATTTGCAGTCTACACCAAATGAGATCATTGGATGTAGAAGTGCTGGCACTTTAGAGGTGACAGAGTCCAACTTCCCTCAGTTTAATGGAAGAGCAAATGAGATTCAGAGACATTTAAGGGATTGCCTGGGTCACACAAATGTGCCTACAGGGCAGAGATAGGCTCTTTTCACCCTTCTATACATTGCCTCCCTAAAGAAGTGATTTGATCAGAAGACCCTGAGATGAGTTTTATAAATTGGAAAGCAGACAAAACTATAGCCAAGGGAAGATCTAGATTGGGAGGTTCCTAATGGACTACAGGCTGTCTCACCTACCCAGTGACTTGAATTCTTTTCAGAAAAAAAAATCATATTCTAAAGAAAAGGAGGAGGGAGGGATAATAACTTACTACCTCTCAAGGTGGCTAGAAAGGAAATATGTAAACTATATACACACTCATCTGTGTGTAGATGTTTATGTATGTGCGTGAGCACGCCATCTTTATTTACAAACCTAAGAGCGTATATCTGGAAGCAGATAGAGATACTTTCTAGTCTGGCTAGGAAGGACGGATTATATCCAAACAGTGGCCTCCACACACACCCAAAAAATGCCAAATGATTGGCAATTAAAGGCAGAGGAAGAACTCCTGTAGACTTTCTATTTTGGTTTGGGGTTCCTGTCATTGTTCTCCTTCTGATTATACTCAGGAATGGGCAGCTCCTGGACTAGGGTTAATTGAAGTGACACCTCACTAGGGCCTTGCTTTGCCCTAAGGTTCCACACTATTGTATGGAGCAACCCAGGCTTTCTGATTGAGAACTGGAAGGAGACTTGGGGATCATTTAGTCTAAAACCTTCATTTTACAGATGCAGAAACTGAGGCCCAGAGAAAGTAAGGGATCTGCCCAGGACCACACAGTGAGTGGCAGATCTGGGATTTGAACTGGGTCACCCGTCTCCCAGCCTGGCAGTCTGCTGTCTGCTATAATCTGCCTTAGCATGTGTGCTCAAGATCTTCTTTTGTTAATGAACAACCTGGATAAAAGCTTCACATGCTCATCAAAATGTGCCACACCAGGGCTTGTTCTATAAAAAGAGCTAGCCAGTGCCCTGTGATTATCGTTCTCGTCCACAAATATTTATTGTGTGCTTCCTGCACACATGGCCCTGTGCTCTGGATTCAGAGGCTACAAAAAAGGCTAGGACAATCTGGTCTTAGAACACAGTCCTGAGCTACCCCAAGCAATCCCTCCAGGGGCTTACAACCCAGTTGGGCAAATAGGCCATTAACAGATGTAAAGACCCAGAAGGCTGGGTGCCCTAAGTGTCAAATGAGTGATAAAGATCAAGATTGTTCTGGGTGTTCAGGGAAGGATGAGGTCCTGTAGATGGCTGGGGTGGGGAGGATTTGGAGTTTGACCTGTGCCTTGAAGGAAGTCTCTAGCTTAGATTAACAAGGTGGGGGAAGGGGGAGATTGTCAGGAAGTGGGAATGGCAAAGGCTAGTGGGAGCAGTGGCCTACCTCAGCCAAAGTTGGAGCTCATTTGTGACGGGTTTACCTGTGTCCCTTTTCCCACCAAAGGGGCATCTTTGTGGCCACACTATTTCAGAGCCCTGCCAGCCCCTTCCAGCTGCCGTGACCCCATTTAGGCCATTCTAAAGATGCCCACAGAGGAGTGCCAGCCTGGATGCCAAGTTGTTATGGATATATTCAGAGCTACAGACATGCCCAAGAGGCTAGTGGGGAGTCATTATGTTGCAGGTAGCATTTCTCTGTGAAATATCTTAAATGCTCTTCATAAATTGCTCTCTCTATGGGACTGCCTTTGCATTTCTTTTCTTCTCAATCCAAATATCAGAGAATCCTAGATTTCGAGTTGAAAGGGACCTTAGAGTCCCTTTCCAGCCTCCTCATTTTATAGATGAGAAAACTGAGTCTCCAGAAGGGGAGTGGCCTTGGCTGAAGCAGCAGGTCAGAGGCCTTGCACCCCGGATCCAACTCCCTACCTCTCTGCCTCTCTGCATAAACATATCCACAGAAAACTCTCAAGAAGGTTTTCAGATAAATAAACTTTAGCTTTGCTTTTTTCAGAGATTCTAAATCATGGCCGAGCGCTTCTGGCTTTCGACATGTGTTCTGTCTTTGCTTTCAGCTTCATGACAATGATGGTCCAGGAAAACAGGAGAAATGCTCCCATTTGCATTTCTCTGCCACTGCAGCTAAGGGGCCTAGTATGAGTCGTTGCTACTATTAACATCCACTTTGTCTAGTGGCTCTTTCCAAAAAGCCAGAGAAGCCAATTCCCCAGGGATATATACTATGACAATAGGCAGGAAAGTTAGCAGGGCTTAGGAATCTGCTTGTGTGAGTAAATTTATGAACTGCCCTTCAGAGTTGCAGTGTGTCTCCCCCTCCTCCACCCCTCTCCCAAACGCACAGTGCCCAGATTCCTGGCCTGGCCTTTCCCAATAATGCAGCCGTCTGTAACAGCACAAATGACATGGGTAACTGAGAACACTTCCTGACCAATCAGGGCTTTTCTATTCATGCTAGTGTTGTTGTTAATATGTGACTAATAATGCCCACATTGCCTGATACACAAAAGGTTATGGAAAAGAAACTGTCCCTTCCCTAAGAAAGTTCCACCACAGAGAATGACAGAGTGGACAGATAGGGATTGAAATTTACTAACCTTGCCTGATGAGTTAATGATGATTTAAGACCAAGGGAAGGCTTTTTTTTTTATGCAATGCTAAAAATGTTGTTGGGGGTGGGGAGAAGTTCTGATATGTATTTTTTTAAATTTAGCCATAGAAGTTAATTTTGTTTTCTACTTTTTATTTACTTTACTAATTACAGTACTGGTGGGAGGGAAGCTTCCTGAACTAATTTGCCAGATGGATTTTTATGGTTTGATTGTGATCCATTGAGGGCCCAGTGGTTTGGCTTCTAGAAGAAGAAGATGATGGTACCCTGGTGCTGGGAGTTCTGAAGACTTTTTACCCCTCCTCAGCCCTGGCTATACTTTCCCATTGAACCCCTGCTCTTACAAAATCTCATCAGCAAACCCTTAATAGAACCAACACACAGCCTAAATAGGTCACTCTAGAGAGCAGTTGGGAATTTGCCCGGTGACTTGTGGGTAGACTGGCCCTTTTTGAACTCAAGTCTTCTGAAGGGAGATAGTGCAGAAGGTCACCTAAGTCATGCTCACATGAGAATTTGTCCAGCCTTCTTTGTGATAGCATGAGCCTAACTTCAGGCTATCAGGTCAGGCTGTTTTTGGTGATGATCAGACTGGGGACCCATTGAAATCAGCAAAATGACAAGGTTTAACTCGGGTCAACTTTCCACAGAAAAGAATAGCTCAACTTGTATAAATTTGAAAACTTTCCACTAATGGCACAAAGGTTTGTCTTACAAATATCAGTCAATCTAGTTCCAGGTTTCCATGGAGATTCCCCCATCCCTTCCCCTTTTGGTGTTACCTGCATCTAGACCAAATGAGTTTTCATCCCTAGAGAACTGGCACTTGCCCACATAAGCACGAGTGTCCCCAGGTCTGGTATTGGGTGCCCCAGAGAACTCTGCTTCCTGGGCCAAGGATATTTCATTTGTCATCACCATAGGCCTCAGTTGCTTTTCTGACCAAAGTAAATAGACCTCATGGCACTGCCTCTTGATTCAGAGCTCACCACCCCCCACCCCCACCCCCCTTTATCCTACAGGAGTGCAAAACTTGGAGGCTATCCCACCCATCCAGTCATGGAGAATGTGTCTCAGAACCAATACATTTGCCAGGCTTCAGTGTCACAAACATGATCTAGGGCCATAGGGATTTCCTGAGGCATGCTCTGAGCAAAGAGAGAGATCTGATTATTGGGACTAGCCCCCTTTTGGTTCTCAGAGTTCCTCTGTTATTACTACAAGAATTCTGACAAAGCACTGAGATTAAGTCACTTTAAAAAAATTTTTTTTTAACGAGTAAGATAATCAAAGTTCAGCCTCTTTACTTCAAATGTGGTTATAATCAATCACCTTACCCATCAATAAAACAAGTAACCAAACAGCCATGTGAACTAAGGGCTAAGACGATCATACATAAAACCTAAAGCATTTTACCAGACACTTTGACAAAGTAACAAAAAGTGAGTTTTCTCTCCATCCTTTCCAAAGTTTTATTCTTCACTACCTTTTTCTTCATCTTCTTTTATGTATATATATGGGTACAAAGACGAGGCCTGTGATTTCATGAGTACAAGGAACTCCTAATAAAGAAATTCCCTCTACCAATGCAGGTTGACACCTTCTCTCCAACATATAGTCTTCCAGAATTACTGGAGGGAGACTGAAAAGATAAGTGAAATGCCAGATATTTGCTTCCTGGCATTCAATAACTCAATAGGCATTTCTTTTTTTTTTTTTTTTTTTTTGAATTTTTTTATTAATTTATTTTGAATTATCAACAGTCACTTCCATAAGCTTTTGAGTTTTAAATTCTTCTCCCTCTCCCTCCCCATCTCCCTTCCCTAGATGGCATGCAATCTGATATAGGCTATACATATACATTCCTATTAAACATATTTTCACATTAGTGATGTTATAAGCAAGAATTAGAACCAATAGGAGGAACCACCAGAAAGAGGAAACAAAACACAACAGAAGAAAAAAAAATAGCAACTGGTATGCTCTGATCTGCATTCAAACTCCATAGTTCTTTCTTCTTTGTAGATAGCATTTTCCATCATGAGGCCTTTGGAGATTCAACAGGCATTTCTTAAATGCCTACTATGTGCTAAGTACTAGGGGATAAAAAGACAAAAATGAAAATAGACCCTGGCCTCAAGGAGTTTATATTCTACTGCGAGAGATAACACATCTGTAGATGAGTTCATATAAACTGTATACAAAGTAAACACAAAATAATTTCAGAACTTGGAGGAATACCTTAAGGACTTGGGGGGGGGGGTTGGGTAGGCTGATCTGGAAAGACCTCCTGTTACAGGAAATGGCATTTGGGCTAAGCTCGGACTAGTGTTAGGGATTCCAAGAGATGTAGCTGAAAAGGCATGGATGGTGCAAAGGTGTGTAGGTGGGAGATGACAAGTCATGTATAGAGAGCATGTATTCAGTCAGTCAGCAAGCATTTATTAAATACTGTTTACCAGACATTGTGCTAAGAACAGAGGGTACAAAATCAAGAACAGTCACTGCCCTCAAGGTGCTTACATTCTAATAGAGGGGATGACATAAATATAAATGGATAAATACAAGATGCATATAGAGTAGATTGAAGCTAACCTTAGAGAGGAAAGCTCTAGAGATTGGAGGGACTGGGAAAGGCCTCCAGCAGGTGGCGTTTGAGCTGAACCTCGAAGGAAGCAAGGTGCAGGTACAGGTGAGGAGGGATAACAGTGTAAGCATGGTGGACAAGCCCTGCAAAGTCACAGAGAGGAGACTAAGTGTTGTGTTCAAGGATCAGTGAGTAGCCCCGGTACTACTGCTTCACAGTGGACAAATAGGAGTGAAGTCCAAGTAAACCAAGAAGCAGAGGAAGGAGCCAGGTTGTGAAGAGCTTTGAATGTCAAACAAAATATTTTCTCTTTGATCCTAGAGGGAGCCATTGTAGTGGAGTAAGATGACCAGATCTGTGACTTGGGGAAGATCCCTTTGGCAGCTGTATGGAGGATGGATTGGAGTGGGGAGGCCGTAACTTACATTCCTAATGAACTGTCTTCATAATAACCCTATGAAATAGCACATCCGAAAACTGAGACCAACTCAGTCTTTCAAACTTCTGTATTCTGGCAACATATCCTAGAAGAAAGAACGCTAAGAGAATGAATTTGTGTCCAGATATGCTGCTTGCTAGCTTTGGGAAATGAGGCAAATCACTTCAGTTTTCTGGGCCTCTACCTTTCTCCTCTGCACAATGGTGGGGTTGGACTGAAATGAACTCTAAGGTCCCTTTCAGCTCCAGAACCTGTGATAGATGCAGGTAAAATGCTTGTTCCTGTGTGATCCCGGCTAATCTTTTTTGGTAATCAAGGCCCAGGACTCTAGGTCATCAGTAGGCCAATTCTCTACTCTCCTTGTTCTGGTTACAGTAGCAAAGCCTCCAATACACTCGCTCATTTTGACTCATGCCCAGCATTCACATAGGGGATTTCTAGAGTTTGATGACTTTTCCCAGAGGCTCAAAGAACAACAGCCTTTCCATCAGGTCAGCTTCCTTTAAACCATTACAATGACCTGAGTCAAAAGCCTGGCCCACAGCAGGTGAGGTGCCCAAGACAAGCTGCCTTTCTGGCAAGAGGACAGCAGCCTCCCTTGTGGAGCAAGATGGGAAGCGTTTGGTGACCTGGATCCGTGGCCAACCGTTCCACAGCTCTTTGGTGGCTGCCAATTTCAGGCTTGAGAAAAACTTTTCTTCTCCCTCTTTCCCATTATTGATGCCTTTGTTTTCCCTGGAAGAATAATACAAACTCACATCTGGGTAGGGATTTACAATATAAAGGATCTTTGCTCACAAACATTATGAAATCAATACCCAACAGAGGCCAGATTCAGGGTTAGTTTTCTCAATCATCAGGGAAAAAAACAACCAAATCAACAAACCACCAAGAAAAGCTGTGGGACCCTACCCCCACCCCACCTCCATGTACAGAATTGGCATTGGACCTACCCCGCCCACCAGTAGCACTTCTTTCTCCTCTCCTTTTGCAAAAGAATAAAAGCATCTTATGGCAAATACACTCTGAGGAATGCTGTAAAAGAACAGAGAGAGGCACCTGAACCATAAACCTGGAGGAATACCAATAAAAAGGCTCTCAGGTATGGTGGGAAAACTCTTGATCAAAGTCAAAGGATCTGGGTTCAAATGTGACTCTGCTGCTCTCTACCTGGGTGACTTTGGATGAAGTATTTCCATCCACTGAGCCTGAGTTTCTTCATCTGTAAAACGAGAGGGTTAGATTGCCTCCAAGATCCCTTCCCATTTACAAGCTGCCATTTTGGGGCTCTCATGGCATAGGACACTCCAGTGAAGAAGCTCCCCTAGCCAGTGCAAGTCAGTAGCTGCTTCTGCAGCTTTGAGTCTCACTTCTCTGAGAGCACTGGAAAATTAAGTGACTTGCCCAAGGTTGCCCAGCGAGGAAGTGTCGAGCCCGAATTTGAATTCAGCTCTTCCTGTCTCCAAGTCCAGGGTTCTATCCACTGTGCCTCCTAACTGCACAGTAAAAGTAAAGTATTCCAAGGCATTTGGGCGTGTTACTAACAGCTGGGTGAATCTGGAAAGGCTTAGTGGAGGAAGTAGCATTTCAGCTGAGCTTTGAAGGAAGCTGAGGAACCTGAAGCAGTCTAGAGGGAGAGAAGTCCAGGCCTGGAAACAACTTCTGCGAAGGCCCAGAGATGAAAGCTGGTCAGTTGTGTAAACGAACTAGCAAGAAGACCACTTGGGCCGGAAAGGGGCAGGTAGGAAGCGAAGCAAGGCATAATCAGCCTAGAAAATTTTAGTGGGATGTTGGCCAGAGCCAGACTGTGGAGGATTTTCAATTCCCAGCAGAGTCTATCCTGGAGTCGTGAACGCTGGCTTTTACTTTCTTGGTGACCTCCCCTCTCTGTGGTAGGAGGAAGAAAGGATGGGCAGGGATGAGAGAGGGAGGCCCAGTTTCTGGCCACAGCTCGTCTGCTGCCTACCTAGGTCACCTTGGGCCATGCCCTTCACTTCTCATCTTTAAAGTGGACTGGATCAACTCCAAGACCCCTTCTGTGATTTCGTAATGATGGAGAACTTTGTGTCGCATTGAAGTTTCACATAGCATGGAGAAAATTGCCAAGGGAGCTGAGTCAGGAAAGTCATTCTGTCCTCACCTTGGAAGCAGGAGGGGAGAGAAAGGGGCCCCAGCCAAAGTCATAGGACCATGGGCTTAGAGGGGGAAGGGACCTCTGAGATCATCTCATCCAGCCTCCTCCTCTTAAAGAACAGGAAACTGAGTCAACCAACAATGTCATTGAAGCTTTTTTTTTTGTGAGCAAGCTGGGCTTTTGGCCAGCAAATACAGTCCTTGCTACCTTTTAGGATAAGAGGTCAAAGGAGGGCAGCAGGGGTGCTTACTCAGAATAGGTGCAAGCCAGGACAGAAATCATGGCAACATTGATTCACATCCAGCCTGGATTATTGAGGTCTAGGAAAAATCTTTACACACCAAATATAGGATAAGCAGCCCATAAATTCAGGATGGAAAGATCTAGTCATCTCTCCCCTGCCAAGGGAGGAGCAAGACCTTGAGTCATTTGTAGCAATTAATATAATTAGTCATTATTGGGCTGAATAGGACAATGCTGGGAAAACCAAAAAATTGGATACAGCATGAATAATTTGGGAATCTCAGAAAGGCAACCTTGATGCTGAATCATAGCTAGAGTGAGAATGTGGGAACAGGTCCCACTTGGAGAACAATGTCCAGTCAGTCAGTTAATAAGCATTTATTATATGTTTACTTTGTTCTAGGTAGGAGACAGCTGGATGGCTGAGGAGATGCAGTTCTGGGACTGAAGTCTGGAAAGCCTCAGACACTTATTAGCCATGTAATCCTGAGCAAATCACTTAACTTCTGCTTGCCTTAATGCACTGGAGGAGATAGCAAACCACTCTAGGACCTGTGCCAAGAAAACCCCATGGACAGTATGGTCCATGGGGTCACAAAGTCTGAACAGCAACAATGTGCCAGGCACTGTGCTAAATCCTGCAGCTACAAAGGAAAGCAAAACCACAGTCCGTGCCCTCAAAAAGCTTGTATTCTAAATATCAGAATGAGTGATTACAAAATCACCAAAATTATTATCAGTAATGAACAACTTCTGTCGACGCCAAATGCAGGGCCTGCTGTCACATGGTGGGCAACTAAATGTATATCATATTTCAATGGTGCTAAGAGGTCAGCTGGGCAAGCTAGATGGTATATTGGATAGAGGACCAGCTCTGGTGTCAGGAAGACCCGAGTTCAAATGTGACCTCAGATACATTGTGTGTGACCATGGGCAAGTCACTTAACCCCCACTTACTTCAGTTTCCTTATCTATCAAGTGTGCTGGAGAAGGAAATGGCAAACCACTCCAGTGTTTTTGCCAGGAAAGCCCCAAATGGAGTCACATAGAGTCGGATGCAACTGAAACAATTAAATAACGGCAACAAAGAGGTTAGCTCCCTTACACACACACATCTGAAATGAACTGCAGTATTTCATTCTGTGTTAAAATACAGATATTCCTAGAAGGAGGCACAAATGACATTTCTCAATGTCACTTAATAACAAATGAATTAGTTTGAGATCCTTCCCTGAGAACAGGTTTAGATTGGGGGCAGAGGAGAATGAGGAAAGAATTTCAGGACATCTCAATGTCCTGACTTTACCAAAGAAGGTAAAGTTACTCTCCTGGCCATCAAAGAGCTTATTCTCTTGCTAGTTAGGCAAAGCACCCACACAGAGAAATCTAAACCCTGACAGGTCTGGGGAACCTGTGGCCCTCTAGGTCCTCAGGTGCGGCCTTTTGACTGAGTGGACCTCCACTCCTGCACCTAAACCTATTTCTGCTTAGGTCATCTCAGAGGGGCAAGAAAACTGTGCCTTGAGGAATTTTTCTCTCCTACCTGGACAAAGCTGTTTTTTGTTTGTTTGTTTTGTTTTGTTTTTGCTGCCCATTAAATCTAAACATGGCAGATTGAGTAGAGACTCAGGACAACCTCCAGACAACGTGCTGATAAATTAGGACCCTCCACCCCTGAGAACACATTGTGGGGAATGGAGCTGTTTCTAATGACCAGAGTATTGGTCTGGTGGGAAAAGTGTGGAATGTGGGGTCTAGTTTCAGATCCCAGCTCTGCAGCTTGCTGCTTGTGGGACTTTGAGCAAGTGACTTTACCTCTCTGGGCCTCAGTTTTCTTTTCTGTAATACGAGCAGGATGAGCTAGATGACTGCTGGAGTTCCTTTCACCTCTGCTTTTTCTTCTGGGCCAGGAAAAAAAAAATCCCAGGAAGTAAATATACAGCAAAGGGGAACAGCCTGCAGGCCATGCACAAAGATGGTCTCTAAATCAGGATGTAGTAAATAGTCTTTGGGCTGGTTACCACCATCACTCTCTTCTCTGCCACCCCCCAGCCCAGCCCAACCCCGGCTTCCCTCAGCTTCCCTGTTTTGTTAGAGCTGCTCCTTCCCAGACCAGGAAGGTTGGCAAAGTAACACGTTCACTTCTCAATGGGGAGTCACCCATGCTCTCCACCCATTCTTTAATTCATGACACTTGGTGCCTCACTGTACTATCCCCTAAGGCACATCTTTGTTTGTTTGGTATGGGGTGGGAATGACAGCATCCTGACAAGCTAGCTTTAAAGTGTTGCTCTTGTCTGACTTATTTGTGTTTTCTAAGTCCTGTTTCCCCTCCTTTTAAGACCTTCTTCTGAGAATCACCCATCCGTTTTACAGTCAGAATCCCTCTGGCTAGGGATTCTTGACCTAGAGTCCACAGACCTACACTGCGTCCACAGATAGATTTCAGGGGGGGTAGATACTTGGATGGGAAAAAAACGACAGCTTTATTTTTGCTTACTTTTGGTTTCTTTTGTAATCCCATGTATTTTATTTTATGCATGTAAAGCTATTATTCTGAAAGGGAGTTGATAGGCTTCACCAGACCACTAAGGGCTCCATGACACAAAAACAGCAAAGAACTCTCACCCTTCCTGATCTACAAGATCAAGGAAGAGCAGAAATTGTCCCATTTTCCCGGCTGCAGCGTGGGTGCCTGAGGTTTGTGGAGGAAACTAGACTTGCTTAAAGGT